AGGACCCCCGAGCCACCGCTACCAGAGAATGGGGGCAGTGCTGGAAACGTGCAAGGGCAGCAGGCAACCATTAACTTGGAGGACCACTGTTAAGAGCAAGGTGGGGGTGTATGGAGTAACAGAGTCCTCTGTATCTAAGAGGGAAGAAAAAGCATGGGGTGTGGCTCTCTGCTCCATCGGGGCTGATAGGCTGGGTCACGGATCCAGTCATCTGTTCCCTTCAAGCTCCTCTGTTTTTGTGACAGTAACTTACTACATTCTTTCCTTTTCACCTTGCCTGTTACACACACATGGAATTCCACACTATAACCCGTGTGTCTGGTATGTCCCTCCCCTTCACACCCCATCCCACCCTTAGTCTCTTAGCTGCCATCTGTACCTGTTTTCCTGGGGTTAATAAATGGTGTCCCCACCTGCCTCTGGGTCACTGAGTCCCTCCCAGATGCCCACTTCCCATGCTAGGGGTACTTTGGGCCCCATGGGCAGGCACCCGTATGTGACCGGCCTGACTGCAGCACTTCCAGGCCCCAGGCTGCCTTCCACTATCTGCAGCTAGGTCTTTCAGCCTCAGGGGCCACAGATAACCAGGGCTGCAAAGGTCAGATAATGATACCATAAGTCCTATTACCTGAACAAAACTACAGCTTCACAGTTACTCATCCTTATGTGCATGAGTGTTTCACCTGCATGCCTGTCTGCACCACATCCATGCAAAATTACAGTTTGTTTGAACCCTACATCAGGTGGTGCCTTCAGTGCCCCAGTGCTAGGGAGACATTTTTCCATGGAACTCCGGTCCTTGGGATAACATGGGAAGGTTATGAGAGTCTGAACCTTGGGATTCTTCCCACCATTTGCAATTGCTACAATTTATACAATTTAGTCCAAAAATATTACCTCCTCCATGCAGTCTACACAGATTGCTCCTGTGGGGTCAATGCTTGGATCCTTCCCCTTTGAGAATGGGTTGCTCCTCTTTCTTTTCTTTCTTCCTTCCTCCCTTTTTTCTTCTCTCTCTCTCTCTTTGTTTGAGACAGGGTTTCTCTGTGTAACAGCTCTGGCTGGCCTTGAACTCAGAGATCTGCCTGCCTCTGCTTCCTGAGTGCTGGATTAAAGGTGTGCATCACTACCACCCTGCAAGGCTTGTTGCTCCTCTTTTCTAACTCCCACCTGCTGTGACTACTGCACTCATCTGCACAGAACCTGCTAGAAGTACCCAGAAGACTGTCCTCAGCTCGTGGATAAAGAGATAGCATGCTTTCCTCCTCTTCTTGACCTCTAGTTCTATACAGTGTCTTGAGTAGCTCAGGTTGGCCTCAAATTCATTATGTAGCCGAGGCTGGCCTTGATCTCATGATCTTCTTGCACCTCCCAAGTGCTGTGATTCCAGGTATTCGAACCTGTTGTAGAATGCTCTCCTCCAAGTAGAACAGCCATCATCTTCAAAACAGCCATGAGTCTTTGCAAGAGACTCCCAAGATCAGGCTTGTTGATTGTTGGCATTCCCACAGGGAGCCAAGGAAGCACTGAGTGAGCGAAGCCCTGAGTGTGTATTTTGACAAGGGCATAGCCTGTTAAGGACTCCAATTGACTCACAGAAAATTTGCAAAGCACATGTGGGCCAGGCATAAGAGGGATGGCAAATCTTTCCCAAGGAGTCAGTGTGTGTTTATGAATGATTGATTGATCCGTGTGTGCAAAGACCAGCAACTCTGGTGTCCTCCTCTTCCTGGATGGTACAGCCTGAGACTGTTTACCTACAGAGACTGCCTACTGAGACTAGCCAGCTGCTCCCCTGTGTTGTAATAATAAACAGGGTGGTGGAACTCATGCTTTCCCCAAGTTGGGCTCTGGTGGAATCTGTTTGGTCATCATGCTTTGTACAGGTCAGGTTTGTTTGTGTCTCCCCAGGGAAAGCATCCTTGCGGTGACACCATATTAGGCTCTCTGTTCTCTTTCAGGGCATGTCCATCCTTCACCATCTTGTTCAGGTTCTCCCCTTGTTTCTTCCCTCCATGCTGGCTGCTGTGGGAAGCAGAGCTCATGCTCCAAATACTTTCCATTCAGCACTGTGTTGTGTGACTACTCATCTGCCAAAGGAGAGATTACCCACAACTTCCTTTTTATATTATACATCTGAACGGTGCTTAACTCCAAGTCTTGTATTTTTCTAGTGCAGGGAAAGGATTCTATTACATCCTTAGCTTATTTATTTCTTTTTGAGAAAGATCTCACTATGTATCCTTAGCTTGTTGCCTCTGCCTCTCCAGTGCTGGGATTGAAGGTATGCACCTTCTGGCTCTTAGTTCATTTTAAAACCAGAAGTCAAGCTGGGCAGTGATGGCTCATGCCTTTAATCCCAGCACTTGGGGGGCAGAGGCATGCAGACCTCTGAGTTTGAGGCCAGCCAGGAATACACAAACAGAGAAACAACAACGAAAAATTCAAAGTAGGTGATTATTTCAGTGGATTTTCTAGAAGGTAAAGAGCATGGCTAACATGAAGTGAACACTACTGAACTGGCTACTCTGGGTCATGCCAGAGTGGGCATGGGCGGATGTTTCCAGGGCCCACAGACTCTGAAGCACAGGTTGAAACCGGAAGAGGCCAGTGGCCACAGGGAAGGGATCTCCCAGGGCACTCCCACAACAGCCCTTGAGCAAAACCATCAGATGAGCCCTCCACTGCAGCCTGCTCCCAGTGCTCACCAGGGAGGCCTTCTGTGGTGCCACATTCATCTGCTGCATCCTCCACTATCTTCCAGGGTAAATGCTCAGTGCATCCTTCTCTACACAAGGTCAATTCTCCAGTGGTTTTGGTCTTGACATGGACTGCCTGAGTGGTGAACAGAGGCCAGGATATCATGTTCCCAACGCCCCCAGCAGTCACAGACCTCTGCCAGGTCTTTGCTACAATCTGCTGGCAGCATGAGGCCTGGCCCAGAGTGATAGGGACTGGGGACCAGGAACTATTGCCAAGAATGGCATTCTCTAGCTCTCTGATTGAGGGCCCACAATGCCTCCTGGCCCACCCTTTTCATCTTCACCTGACATCACGACCCTCCCCCCAGCCTGTGCACTACCTATTCCCCTTGCAAGCAAGCTGCCCATTCTTAAGGCCTAAAGGATCCAGAATGCATTCCTTCTCTTCGTGGAGATCTTTCTTCAAAACCCCTGCCTGGGCCACTCTCCTCTTCCAATATTTGTCACCAGACAGTATTCATTAAGTACCTACAGTCCTGGCCATATCGAAGATATGTGTACCCCACGAGAGACACAAGTCATTTAATAAGGGGAAAGAATTCTAATCTGAGGAGACAGCCCTGGTGGAGATGTTGAGGTACAGAACACTGGGACATACTTAAGGAAGCCTAAGGAATTTACATGCCTTGCAAGAGGTAAAAGAATGTGCGTGCATCTTTGCCCCAAACATCTCTTGGGCTGAGTTTCCAGGCTGAATCTCCACCTTAAGGCTGGTGCCTGGCACCACCCGTTCCAAACTTTAGTTTTAGGTCTCTTAAGTTTTGATGGGCCTCCTGTGAGGAGTTAAGCAGCGGCTAGAAAGGGGTTAAATAGCCTTAAACACTTGCCCCAGCTGTCATTTTATGGCGTTTCACCGGGGCCTTACAAAGTTGGCAGACCTACAACAAAGTTGGGACTGGAACTGGAATCCTATGTCAAATCCAGGACCAGCCTTAACCCACCTGACAGAACCAACCATAAAGAATCTTCACAATTGCCTACATATTCGTATCGCCTTCTAAAGGCATCACATTCTGATGTGAGTTTCAGCAGGCAGGTCTCTGCTCCTGCGATCCGGTCCTTACCAGGGCACACAGCATAGCTTGGGGATAGCCTTGCTGAGGCCCCAGTGGAAAGTTCCGCTCATGTCGCGGAGGCCTCAGCGCCCCCTGGCGGCCACCCTCGCGGTGCCCAGACCGCTGCTAGTCAAGGGCTTTTTAGCGCCTCCAGGGAAGCTCGCCGGCGCCCCGAACCCTCCAGGGCACTCTCGCAGTCGCGGGGTCGGCTGGTCAGAAGCCTGCACGCCCTTGCGAAGCAGGGCGCCACGCTCGGACTACAGGCCTGGCCAGGGCTGCGCTCGCACTACAACCCCCAGAGTCCAGCGCGCCGCTGCCCGCGTGAGGCAGTGACGTAAGTGGGGCGGTCAGGGGGAGGGGGAGCATGGTGGCCGGGAATGATGACGCGCCTTGCTGGCTTTTCTTCCTGGAGCGGGTTTACGAACTTACCTGTTGAGTAACTTTGAATTCTTGACCTAGTTATCCTTAACCGGGGAGAACCACTGAGTACCCTCAGCCTTGCCATCCCGGGGGTCGCCACTGTCCCACGTTGTCCACAGCAGCCAGGGACTCCCCATTCATCTGTGACTGACTTGAATTCCTGATCCTTTTGCCTCCACCTCCAGAGTGCTGGGATTTCAGGTATGTGCCACCATGTCTTATTTTTGAAATAGTTTTGGTTAACTGGATAGATCCCTTTGGATAAGGTTTGTCGCACTCGCTCTGTATGCAGATATGGCATTTAGAGGTATTTTCTTGTGTGTTTTCTAAAACAAAGGCACGTTCCTACATTCAAAACCAAGTGGCATTGATCAAGACAGACTTCTAACTCATACACCATACTTAAAGTTGTCTTCGTGGTGCACAGTATGGAGTCTGGGTTATTTTTGTTCCAGGAGCAGGCATTACATTCAGCCGTGGTCTCTGATTTCCTTCAGTCCATCAGTTTTTCCTGCACTCTTATGACCGTGATGCTTTTGGAGATTTCCAGATAGTTTTGCAAAGGTAGGTTTACTATTGTATGAGCTATCTCCAACCATGGGTCTTGTTCTGTGATGCAAACAGGACACTACATTATTCAAAGATTAGGCATATCTAAGTAGATAAGTGATCATTGTCCAACCACAACACTTTCTGGATACACTTGCAGGCCACACCCTTCTGAGGGTACCTCCTTAGTAGTGGTTTCACTTTTACCTCCTAGGTCTCTGGAGCATCCACCCACCTGGAGCCATGGTCCATGCTTTCCTCATCCACACCTTGAGGGCCCCGAATTTGGAAGATACAGGCCTTTGCCGAGTGCTGTACTCCTGTGTCTTTGGTGCTGAGAAGTCACTGGATGATCCACGGCCACAAGGTGCAGAAAGGGACAGGCTCTTCCGCAAGGAACAGATTTTGGCCGTGGCCAGGTAATGTCACAGCCCAGCCCCAAGCTTCATTAGACACAGCTGATTAAGAATCGGAATATTTCCCCCATCTTCTACCACTGTTTATAAGTACTACTGTGAAAAAGAGTCAAAGGAAAAATGCGATTATCCTTATGATGGGTCTGGGAATTTTATGTATGTTATTTAATCCTCGCAGTCTTCTGAGGTGGTTATGGTTACTACTGCCACTTTACAGAAGAATAAGCTAAAATACAGAGTGTTTAAGGAACTTAACCTGCCCAAGGTTATGCAACTAAAAAGTGGCTAGAAATGGAGATTTAAGTATAGCCAGGCAGACACGTACAGGAGAAACATGCTTTACAGTGGAGATCTTCATAAGAGAGAGAACATGGTATGTTAGGACTCTACTCAGGGCCGCTGAATGCCAGAGACTCAGAGCAGTTTTAGGAAACACTGTTAGGGAAGTGATTAGACAGGGACCTTTCCATCCCAGACCTACATGAAGTGTGCAGCTCCTGCCACCTCCTTATTCTTGACCTGGTTCCCCTCTTGCAGCACAGACCAAGAACTAAACAGTTGCCCTGTTAGAGTTTTGTTCAGGCTGGCCTCCACTTCTCTTGTGTATTCCAGGATGGCCATAAACCTGCTTCCGCCTCCCAGTGCTGGGATTATAGGCTTGCATCACCATACCTGGCTAAACAAATGGCTTTAAAGCCTGGCTAGAAGAAGATTCAGGAAGCCTTGGGGTGCCGGGGCAGCTTTGACAGTTACATGGGAGGTGTTTATGACTTGGAGAAGGGTGAATGAATAGTTGAGAGGTCAGATGACCCCATTAGATGGCTCCATTCTTCTCATTACTGATTTGCCTCTCTGTTGAGGAGGCTTCTTCGAGGCAGGTCATACAAGACCTCACCCCCTAGTCCTTTTCCCAGCCTGAGGAGCTGTGTTCAGATCCTGTCTTCTCTTGGCTTTTTAGAGTAAAGTGGTTCAGAGCTTGCAGGCTGGAGGCTGGATTTCTGTATCATCACATTTCTCTGGCTTTGTGTCCCAAGGAAGACCTCTTAAGCTTTCTAAGCCTAAGTTTCTTTACCCAAGATATGAGATATTGGCAGCTCCCAGCTACAGTGGAAGTTGTGAAGTTGACAGAAGTATCTATGTATGTATGTGGGAGGTGGGGGGTAGTGCCGTGGTGGTCTTGCCAGGCCTCTCAGCTGCCAGACTGACCTGACTCCTATTCCAGACAGGTGGAGTCACTATGCAGGCTGCAGCAGCAAGCATCTGGATGTCCCTCCACAGACCTGCAGCCTCAGTTCTCAGATGAGCCTGTGTCCCTGCATGAGGCCCCTCATGGAGCCTTTTACCTGGGAGCTGGGGACCCTTTCCAGGAGCCACAGACAGTGGTGTGGCTGGGTGTGCTCTCCCTAGGCTTTGCCCTGGTACTGGACACCCATGAGAACTTGCTCCTGGCTGAGAGTACACTCCGGCTGTTGGTCCGCCTTCTCCTTGATCACCTCCGGCTACTGGCACCAGGCAACAACTTCTTGTTGCGGGCTGACCGCATTGAAGGAATCGTCTCCCGCTTCCTGCCACATGGACAGCTGCTTTTCCTCAATGACCAGTTTGTCCAGGATCTGGAGAAGGAATTCAGTGCTGCTTGGTCCCGCTGACTCCCCCCCCCCCCAGAATGAGGACAAAGAGGGAGAGTAAAGACTACGTACTTCAAGGAGAAGTACCTCTTACCTAGGCTTGCCCTAGTGTGATGTGTGGTCACACTCTGGACAGATGGATTGGACAAGCTGGGAGGAAGAGGCCTGGGTAGAAGGCAGAGGAGGCTGTCTGTGCCTATTCCTAGGTCAGTGAAATTGCAGAACATCCTGAACCTAGAGCTGCCATGTGACCTTCTAGACTCTGCAGTGTTCACCACACTAGTCCTTGACTCCACTTCCTCCCAACCCTACCAGCTGCCTGTGCTGGAGCAGTGTACTGCCTGCCAAGACTTTAGCTTACCTTCTCTATAACCCCAGCACAAAAGGAGTCTTTGGGACTCCCTTCAAGGTGGAGGAACTGGGCCGGTATACTGGCAAGCCCTGGCCCTTGCCTTTGCACATCATCAAGGATTTTGTCAGCAAGGCCTATTCTGCATCCAGCTCCATCAGCATGGGGATTCTGCAGCTTCTGTATCTACCAGGCAAGCTGAGAACACAACAGCTTTTCTCATCTGCTGGCTGGCGAATGCCAGTCGTCTGGCCCAGGTGATGTCTTACTTTGAATTAAAAATAATGGCTGTCTCACTTTGTCCCCTTTTTGTGCACCTCATGGATGCAGTGACCTCCTGTGAGTGAGCATCTGCCTGAGTGACCCCCACTACCTGCTCAAGCACCCTCCTCCGAGCTTCCTTTTGAGTCCTCCATCCTCTCCAGATGTTTGTTTGTACTTCTCTTGGATGGTGGAACTTCCTTTTTTGCTGGAGTATTTGTCACAGGTGGTTGGTTAGTGTGGATACCTGAGAAGCAGAGACTGAGACATTTCCTGAGGGCAGTTCTGTCCTTCTGCTGTGGGACCCGAGGATCAAGCTCAGGCCATCAGGCTTCCTGGCAGGCACTTTAATCAGCTGAGCCATCTCACCAGTACATGATGTGTTTTTTCCCAAGTAAAATGGAGCCCTTTTATTTCAGAAATATTTTCCCAACTAGGTCATTAAGTGGCTATTGTGATTCATTGTTCCATTTAGATAATCCAACTGCACAGCACGTGGGTCTCCTGTTGCTCATCTTCCCCTATGCTAAGCGTGGCAGATACCAAAAGCTCCAGGAAAGAGAAGTTACTTTTGGAAGATGGATCTCTTGTGTACAGAGACGGCACAGTGTAGCTTAACCAAGAAGGGAACCGTAGTCTGCAAAGTGAGGCTCAACCGTGTCCCACATCTCTGCCATCTGAGTAGTTCCAAATCATCCATCCCAGGAGGTTGGATCTCATGGTATTCAAATGTGATTTCTTCCGCCCCTCTTCTCTGCAGTGGGATGCCCAGTACCCAGTACCACCTCAGCATTTCAAGATCTCATGGAACATTTGTGTCTCCAAAACATCTGAGTCTATCCTGTTATCGGTTTCACTGGCCTCTCAGAATGTTACTCTCCTTTCTGCTTTGTTCTCTAAGCATGTAATATGCTGTTTCCACTGATGCTCACTCACCAGAAAAAAAAAAGAAAGAAAAAAAAGAAAAAAAAAAATCAAGTACTTGCATTTGGTCATAGCTGACTGTTATGAGCATTTAGGGAGATATATAGGAGGAAGAGAGAGAGAGAAACAACCTCATTAACCTTGTATTTGTCAGTAATCAAACACTGTAACGAAATATCTGAGGCTGGGTTCATTTTTAAAGAAAAGAGGTTTATTTAATCCCAGTCTTGAAGTTAAAGTATGGCACTGGTGTTAGCTTGGCTCTAGAGATATCCTCATGGTGGATGGCAATTCAGTGGTAGGAACATGGGCAGAGAGAGGCCGGGAACATCAAGAAAGGAGTTGGCCACACAGGAAGCTAGGAACAGACAGGAACCAATCATGACCTCACAGTAAGCTCTACATAGATGACAGGTAGGAGTGCTTTATAACATATTCTAAATTGTGAGAGCACATTTGTATATCTTTGGAAGGAAAATGCAAATGTATCCATCTATTGTTTTTTTTTTTTTTTTTCTGAGTTAGCCTTCAATCTTGATATCTCAGGATAAATGAACAATTTTGTAGCCTTGGTGTAAGTGAACATCCTGTATCCCACATACAGAGAATGAGGGGAAAGCAGAACTCAGACTCAAGCCCAACAACTGAGTGAAATTAGACTAGGCTTATAATCAGCCTGCTAAAGAAAGGAAGCCAGACTTGGAGAATGATAGTCCTCTGTTTTCTCAGACTGAGCCTCTCTGAACAGAGTGCAGTTTAAAGATTCACTCCTTTCTTAAGTTTTTTTATTTTATGTGTATAAATATTTCGTGTGTATATGTGTGTGTGTGTGTGTATGTGTGTACCATGTATATGTGTGCAATTCCCCAAAGGTTAGAAGAGGGCACCTGAACCCTGGAACTGGAGTTACAGATGGTTGGAAGCTGCCATGTGGGCACTGGGAACCAAACTCAGGTCCTCTGCAAGAGCAGAAAGTGCTCTTTACTGCTGAGCCATCTTTCCAGCCCCAAGATTCAGTTGTGGTCTCGTCATTGGCTTCTGTAAGTGTCTAGCAGCAATGAGTTCTGAATTCAGATATTTGGATTACCTTAACTACCTCTGAAAGTCTGCCGTATGCCAGTATCACACTGGCATATGACCAAGAGCCTAAGAAGTGCATCTGAGAGACAAGCCTGCACGTTGACTCCCCAAAGTTCCCAACCGTTCTTCCAAGGGCTTTTAATTATTCCTGGGCTCTACTTGGGGCCTTTGCCTCCCAATAATTCTCAGATTGTCACTTTCTTTTTATAAAGTTTATGGCTAGGGAGAGGGTCACTGGGTCAAAACACTTGCAGTGCAAGCCTGAATACCTGAGTTTGAATCCCAGGACCATGTAAAGCCAGGGTCAATAGCTCACACCTGTAATTCTAATGCTTCTATGGTCAAAAGGGAGGCAGAGACAGAACAGTGTGTGGGCCAGCTCACATAGTATACATGGTGGAAACTTTTTCACACAAGGTAAAAGGCAAGGATGGACACCCAAGATTGTCCTCTAAACTTCAGAGTGTTTTGTGGCACACACACTCATCACACACAAATAATATCTTAATTAAAAAATTGTGTTTTGAGGGCTCAGGTGGAAGGTCAGTCCTTGAAATCAATCCACAGTCTTCAGAAAACTGTGCGTGTTGGGGTGTGTTGCCAAGTAGCATGAGACCATAGCAAGTCCTGTTCTCAAAATGATAAAGAAAAATTAAATACATGCACAGTATTGCTTCTTTTATGCAGCTAATAAATATCCACAAGCTTGGTTAGACATCGAGGATGGACCTCCTTCCTTGTGCCCCAGACACTTAAGAACCAGTATAAAGTCTGTCTTGTAATGTCAATGCACACAGTGGGCCCTCTGGTCATTGCCCAGTCTGCTTTGAGAGTGCTCCATCTTATTAAATTCTGTTTACTGTAACCATCGGTCTATACTATGCATTGCATGTCTCTTTCAAATTAATGTAGTAGAGAGTAAGAAGCAGAACAGAAAGCAGAGCAACACAACCTGGTGACAGTTTCTATTTCTAGAATGTGAGCATTTGAGAGAAATCCTATGTTTTGTGGCATGTGGTTTCTAGGGGATCCTTCGAAATTCTGAAATTTCACCATGTGCTAACCTTTCCCTGTCAGTACTAGTTACAGAACCCAGGATTCTTTTTATGCTTAGCAGACATTCTCCCACTGAGCTACACACCTAGCTCCATGCAGGGATTTCTCTTTCCTGGGATTCAGAAACAACATGCTCAAGGATTGTGTTCCCAGGAGTTCATTCTTCCACTGAGAGTTCCAGTTGAGGCTAGAGCTAGAACTGGACTTTAGTATACCCCCATGATTTCTGTCCCGAGGGAAGGCAGTTGGCCAGAACTATGCCCTCTCAGGAACAGTCACCTGATGTACAGTGGCAAGGTCAGAGCAGTTTCCACTGGGCCTTGCTAGCTTAAAGGGCCACGAGCATTTGTAGCAGCGAAGATATCACCTGAGGCTGGAGAGAGGTGGCATTGGGCATTTCTTGGGAATCAACACTTGCTGGACTGAAAGTGATGTTAAAAGCCTTTGGCAGTCCTCAATCATGTGGTCTTGGGATGGCCCCTCAGTAAGAACAGAGTGCTGGCTGCTAGATCAAACTTCAGCCTCAGAGAAGCTCAAGCAGAGGCTGACAGTAAGAAGTATGCACAGAGGGGCAGTTTCCTGGGTCCACAAATAGTAAGTCAGTAAATAGAAAGAAAGGAAAGATCCTAACCATACAACCCTCATGGTCAGACATAATTAAAAATAGAGTCTGTGCAAAGGCCTCCAAACAATGGGGAATAGACTCACAGTACCTTTTCCTGATCACTATCCCTACAGGTGGGAATGCCTGGGCACAGCCCGGCCAAGGAATCAAAGTGAATCTCCTTAGTAGCTGACATGGTTATGCTGGCCCGCAGGTTTCAAGTGTCAGGAGAGCTGAAGCAGGCTTGGTGGTACATGCCTGCAATCCCAGTAGGGAGGTTGAGGCAGGAAGAGTGAATGCTTCAGGCCCAACTGGGGTACAACGTGAGTTCAAGGCCATCCTTAGCTACATGGTGAGACTCTTAAAAGTGAATAAATAAACAAATAAAACTACACCTGAGGTAGGTGGGGGGGGGGGCTCAGTAGAACACTTAAGAGGAGACAGACAGACAGACCAACACACTGCATCTGAATCTAATCAGGAAACCTCAGACAAACCTGAACAGAAAAAAAATATTCTAAAGGTTTTTACCTGTTCTCTGCAAAAAGAGCAAGGCTTTTGTGAAAGCCAAGGAGCCGCCACAGTTTAGGAGACTCAAGACTTTACATAGCACTGTGGGATGGGGTCAGGGATGCAACCTGGAACCCACAGGCTTTCCAGGGTATACAAGAAAAAACAAAATTCAGGAGGCTTTGCAAAGTTGGGTTCGGAAATGCATCATGCTTTCCACAAATCACTAATTGGTATTTCCTTTTTTTTTTTTTTTTTTCCCCTTGCTTGATGTTTGCAGCTTTATGAGGAACTGCTGTTAGAGCCAATCAAATGGAAGTTTCCTTTTTTAAAAGATTTATTTTATGTGTATTGATGTTTTACATCAATCTGCATATATGACTGTGTGAGGGTGTCAGATCCTCTGGAACTGGAGTTACAGTTGTTAATAGCTATGTGGGTGCTGGGAATCTAACCTGGGTCCTCTGGAAGAGCAGACGATGCTCTTAACTACTGAGCCAGCTCTCTAGGCCCCAAATATGGAAGTTCTCTCTCTCTCTCTCTCTGTCTCTCTCCCCCTCTCCCTCTCTCTCTCCCTTCCTCCCTCCCTTCCATCCTTTCTCTCTCTCTCTCTCTCTCTCTCTCTCTCTCTCTCTGTTATTGTTGTTGTTTTTTTCATGATAGGGTTTCTCTGCAGCTTTTTTGGAGCCTATCTGGAACTCACTGTGTAGACCAGCTAGCCTTGAATTCTCAGAGATCGACTGCCTCTGCCTGCGAGTGCAGGGATTAAAGGGATACCCCACCACGGCCCCTCTAGGCACTTTAATAATAAGTACATGTAACATACCTTAGCTAGTGAGCTCTATTACAGCACGATGGTAGTTTGGCTTTCCTTTTTTATATAAATTTAAAGACATTATTCTTGCTTATGTACTTTACCAGACAGTTCTAGAAACTACTGGTTCAAACAAGGTGACCTGTCCACATTTCATAGGATCAGTACAGACAAACCTACATATAAAAAACCCTTGTGTTCACTCTACTGGATGGAGGGTTTCTGCAGGCAGCCCCCACCTGCCTCCAGCATGCCAGTCAATAGATGTGCACAGAATTCCTCGAGGCCTCTTTCCCGTGTTAATCCCACACCCTCTTTATGGTGCCAGGGTGAAGACCAAACAAACAACTGTCAATGGAGTAAAAGGGGCAACTAATACAGCTGGTCCACCTTTTTTTGGGGGGGGAGCTGGAAAGCAAAAACCTACACCACCTGGCAGATTTCTTGGCAGCTGGAGCTGTAAATATGAGGTGGGTCAATAATTAGATGCCACATGAGCAATTTGAGGACAGAGGACATCTTCCTGCTGTCACTTGACAACAGGACTCAGTGACAGTAGGGCCTAAAGCCAGCCTCCAGCATTCTTGCCTCTTCAGTATTGAAGAGGCTTCTCAGAGCCATGTGAATGGTGGTGGTAGCAGCCATCTCCGTTTTTAATCAAGGTTTTGATGAGGTTTTTCTGTTTTGTTTCTTTACCATTAATTTTGAAAAAAAAATTTATTTTTATTTCATGTACATTGGTTTTTGCCTGCGTGTATGTGATGCCATATTCCCTGGGACTGGAGTTTCAGACAGTTGTGAGCTGCCATATGGGTGCTGGGAATTGAACTTTGATCCTCTGGAAGATCCTCTCTTAACCGCTGAGCCATCATCTCTCCAGCCCCCAAGGTTTTGTTTTTGCTTTATTTTGTTATCATTATTTTTGAGACAAGGCCCTACTATGTAGTTCAGATACCCTTAAGCCTGCGGTTCCTCTGTCTCAGCTTTTCAAGTGCTTGGGTTCCCCATGAATATCACTGAGATGTGTGCCTAAGTCCATTCAAGTGTAACCTCGGGACTGGACGCTGAACAGCCAACTCCCCAACGCAGCCGTGCCGCCGCCGCCGCCAACAGGACCGTGTCAAGTGCTGGTGAGGAAGTGGGCCAGAGCCAGACTGAAGTTCCCACCACACTGCTGTTGCAAGCTGTGATGCAGCCTCTTTGGAGAACTCTGGAAACTGCTGATAAGGCTAAATATAGCTTTATCAGGCAGTTTATTCAAGGGAAATAAGCACATAATCCCACAGAAAGACTTCCTTGTGGATGTTCATAGCAGCTTTATTCCTACCCACCCAAACCTGAGAGGGCCCAAATGTTCCAGTAAGAACAGAAGGAATATGAGCATGAGAAAAGGCCCAGAGGTTACAAGCACTTGCTATGAAACAGTGAGGGCCTGAGTTTGCATCCTAGCACCCTCATAACAAGCTGGGTGTGATCCTTTGCCTCCTCTTTCTTGAACCAAACCATTTCTCATCTCCATCCTTGCTTGAAAGGACCAGGTTTAACCTTCAGAAGCACGTCTTCCAGTGGTCAACTTCCTCCAGCCAGGCTCCACATCTAAAGTTCCCAGAACTTCCCAAAACAACAGCATTCATTGGCTGGGGTCCAGGAGCTAAAATGTAAGCCTGAGGGGCCATTTCACATTCAAATCCTTAACAGTGACCGAAGTGGGGAAGCGAGTGGATGGTAGAGTGAGGGGCGTGTGATGGTGTT